TATATATATATATATATATATATATATATATATATATATATATATATATATATATATATATATATATATATATATATTAATAAACAATTTAAATGGGTTTTTAAAAATGTTTTGATGTAGTTTTGTTTTTACACACTTATCTTATTATGCAGATATCAGATGTCTTTGACCCACATTATTTCATGCAAGAATTGAGATAAATCTGTTATGTGTTTTGCTTAAAGATGCACAAGAAATGCACAAATTAAGAACATAATAAATGGTTCTTTTTAAATTAACTTATGCATTAAGAACCATATTTTTTGCACATTGGTGTCAAATATTTTTTTTCGTCTACAATAGATCCTTCTCACAAGATAGTGGTCATGTTTTACCAATCATCAGCATCTTAAATCCTTGAAAGTGTTTAAAGTACACATAATATCAAACTAACCATATGATTTTGTTAGCTCACATTGGTAGTTATGTGGTGAACACTTCATCTGTGCATGTCATTAAGAGGAAAAATTGTAAAGTAAAATATGATAATGCACTTCCTGTTTGTTTTCAGTTAAATTCTCAGATTACACGATTTTGCTGTGTTGGGCGTGGCTAACATACTTAACCACGCCCTTCCAGCTGTCAGTTTTGACAACAAACAGAAATGGTGAGAAGAAGGCATCTGTTAAGTTGTAATAACTCTTCTAAAACCCTTTTTCTGATCTTTCTGAATAAAATGCCCACTTTACTACTATCATTCAGACCACTGATTTCTCATTTAATATTCTGTTTTTTATAAACTGCATCACATAATTGAAAATGCATTGCATAATCTAGGTGTTTCTAATGCAGCATCTTTGGAAGAGACAGTAATTTAAAGGGAATGTAACATGCTCACTTTGCCAAATCTCATAATAATCTCGAGTGCGTATAGAGTAGGGTGATGCAATTAATTAAGATCGAATCGTAATCCCAATTTGAAACGTTGCAATTAGTTAATTGCAAGAAGCTGTGATATGAAATATATATTATTTTTATATTATTTAACTTCCCTCACCTAGAGAAAATGCGTGACTGCTGTTTGTGTGTGACAGTTTTACTAGCCAATTAAGTGAGCACACTTTTGCTCTGCCCAATCAGAATTGCGCAACCAAACTATGCGGAAGCCCACAATAAAAAAACAAACAAACAGAAAAGCACGGACGAGTGGGATGATGGGATCTGCTACTTCAGAAGCATTAATAGACTAATTAAAGTCAAAGGAATACAGCAAGTCAGTAATATGTAAATATCCTGGTTTCAAAGTCACAAACACCAAAGAAAACCAGGTCATTTGTAAGAGCTGTCACAGAATTGTTGCCACAGCACGAGGAAATACAACGACCAGCACATTAAAAGCACCACAGGTTGTTGTATGAGGAGCGTCGTGCAAACAAATTTGACTAAAAGTACTGCCAGTCACACTCAATCTAGTAACAAGCAACAGTAAATTACAATTTCAGAGTTGTTTGCTAACATAAGTTGATATCTTTTAAGTTTCTTTTTTAAACTAAGAATCACTGCATTTTAGCAGTAAGAAGCTGCAATACAGGTTATTGAGCTGAAGCTTGGCTACAAAATTAAATTGCAAATCAAAATCGCAATATCTGTCAAAAAAATCTAAATTAGATATTTTCCCCAAATCGCACAGCCCTACTATAAAGTGGTACTGCATGCAGTTTTTTTTAGAAAATGTCTTTTTTTATATATATATTTTTCAAACAAAGTTACAGGTTTCTGATTATATTAGTCTTTTTTTTTTTTTAAAGAGAGAGTCATAAAGGCAAGTTTTTCTTTTTTAATTTGAGTAAATTAAAATGAAATTTGTGGTACTCTTCATTGCTTTTTAAGTGTACCCAACTTTGATGACTTAAAATATGAAAAAAATATTTACAATTAATCGTTTCCTTCTGATTTAGTGTATTTTTCTTGTGTCCACACCTTGAAGTGAAGGTTGGCTGCTGGCTGATGACTTCATCTCATACGGTTACCTGTTTTGTGTTAAAAGCGGGGCCACACTTTGAAAAGTCTGAGATGATCTTCCATGTTGCCGTCATCAGCATCACAGCTGTCTAAAAATCCTTCTGCGCGTCTGCCTCATTTTGGGGCAGTCGATCAGATCAAAAATGTGAACGCCACTGCGCCTTTCCCAATTTGATCAGTTTCTGCTTTTGATCACAATTTATTTAATTCAGTTCAACTTTACTTCTATAGCACTTTTATAATGTAGATTGTGTCAAAAGCAGCTTAACATGGAAGTTCTAGCAAATCAAGTCCAGGTCCAGTTTTCAAAGTTGAAGTTCAGTTCAGCGTAGTTTAAATTAGTGGATTTAATGAGTGACTTTTTGATCATGTGTTTTTCTTTTGCAGAAAATTAAGATCGCCGCCTTGCGCATGTACACATGCTGTGTAGAAAGAATCAACTATGACGAATTTTTTGAAAGTAAGTATTTTTTACACTGAGACCACATTATGGCCTTATGAGTCTTATGTCATGCTCATTTAAATTTTTTTGAAGAACTCCTAAACACCCTTCTCTTTATCCCAAATGGTAAAACGAGCGTAAAGGGACCTTTTCAGCAGCACCTGAAAGATTTATGTGGCACTTTACAGCTGTGTTATGTTGTTTTCTTTAGCTGAGGAAAAAACAGGTGTAAACCCAATAGCGGTTTTGGAATCGGAGCCCAAGTTTGCATTGGTTTGGCTACTATGTTGTGTTTTCTTCTTCTCCCTCCCTGATGATGTCCTCTGTTCCCTCTGTTTCTACCCAGAATGCTCACTGCCTGACACGCTCAACTCTTGGTTCTTGGTGGCACAGCTTCATGTTTGGTGAGTTTTTGGTCGCTGTTTTGCTAAGCAAGGCTACAAGTTGATTGCTATTCATCTAGTACAGACCTGGGCATTTTAAGGCCCACTGGACTTCTTTGATCGGCTGAAGCATTTATTTAATTTAAATTCCACTGCAAACAGGGCCTTGCTGTGAGTCAACAAATAAGGATTGTCACATATACCGTCTTTTGCGTTTTCAATTTCGTTATTTAAAATGGAGACGCGCCTGTTCAGTGCACAAATTGAAAGGGATGCACATGTGGGATGTCACACTTACGTTTTTCAGGCGATTCGACAAGCGAATCACGAGTAAGTGACAAGAACCGTCCAGGCAACTTCACACTTTGTATGAAATTACATAGTAATAAAGGTCAACTGATTACCTTAGATTAACGATTTCACTAATGCAGATACAGATCCTCTCTCAGTGATGATCTTTACATCACATGTCCATCTCACTTTCAACCTGAATTCAGTGCACTTGTTCGGCCCATCACATGCTAGGATTCTCTCACTGAACATAAAAAATATCAATAAAAAAAATAAAATAATAAATAAATAAAATTAACTAAGTTGAAGCAATAAAACAAACAACCCCGTGGCATTTAAATGAAGTTGATGTTGTGATTTAATTTGTTCATTCATTTTCTTTTCGGCTTAGTCCCTTTATTAATCTGGGGTTGTCACAGCGGAATGACCCGCCAACTTATCCAGCATATGTTTACCACAGCCGATGCCCTTTTAGCCTTCAAACCCATCAATGGGAAACTTCCATACACACTCATTCACGCACATACATTGTGGCCAATTTAGTTTATTCAACTCGCCTATTCACCCTTATCTCCACGGACGAGCGGGCGCAGCCATTTGAATCTTTTTGGCACGAGACTACCGGTCTCATTCACTTCCATTCATATTTAGACATTAAAAACTGCTCGTTTCGCTGTTTGATGTTGCAGTTTGATATTTTATTATTATATTATTCTACTTGGTCTGTATAGTCATGCAAACATTTGTTTGTAGAGCAAGTAGTTGGACCTTTTTTTGCCGTTTATTATTCCTAGTCATTTCTCCCATAGGCGACTGAAACGGAAGTTCGAAGACAGCCGATGCCCTTTTAGTCTTCAAACTCATCACTGGGAAACATCCATACACACTCAGTCATTCACACACAGACACTATGGCCAATTTAGTTTATTCAACTCGCCTATAGCGCATGTGTTTGGACTGTTTGGGAAACCGGAGCACCTGGAGAAAACCCAGCCGGGGCTTGAACCAGTGACTTTATTGCTGTGAGGCAACAGTGCCAACCACTGAGCCACCGTGTCACATCTACATTAATTGCAAGAATTTTTAAATTATTTTTTATTTCATTGTTTGACTTCCTCTTTTATCCAAGCTTATTCGATTAGTTAATAGTCTATTGCTTAGTAATTATGCCTTTTTTTTTTCCATATCCAAAGTTTTCCTCTTTCTATATTATCAAATGTGATTGGTGACCTAGAACTATTGTATTTAAAGGTGCAGTAGGTGATCTTCCACAATGCTAACAGCTTAGCATAAATCTCTGAATCACAGTTCCTCCCCTGCCGTCCAGAGCCACGCCTCCTGAAACACATTAAAGATGACAGCAATAGAACCCTCTTACATGTGTTAAAAGCAACAAGTGCTTGTCCAGCGTTATGCAGGAATTACACTTATAATTAAGCCAAACAGACATGCTATTTCAGAGCAAATATTTAGAGTTGCACGGTAAACAATATAGGGAGAGACTAGGCAGAATAGTGGTATTTAGTGGTGTTGTGTTGTTAAAGTAATTAAAATCTACATTATTAATGCTGTAAAAGGTCCCTTATGAAACTGAAAATAGTCTTATCAATCTTTCACCGGAAGATTTTAGTGGCTGAACAACACTTCTGTGCAGATATGACCCATTTGTAACAACAACATCTAACGTTACATCAGCTTTGCGTGAAGCTAAAACAGTTTTAAAACAGAACATTACCTGTCTAAGAGAAATCCTTCAGATATTGTGTCTTCCTTTCTCCAGCGTGCAAAGGCAACTCCAATATTGATTCAGGTTTTTAAAAAGTTTTGATTCAGCATGTTTTGCCGATCGAGCATGCGCGCAGAATCAGCGGTCAGCAGAGCAGCGTACAAACGGCTGCGCAGTTGCTCAAATCTGCATTTGCTAACAGATATTTTGAGCTACTTATCGTAATTATGGGAGATGTCGTCCAGACTCTATTTAATTGGATGAACATTTTTTCGTTTTATTCCTTACCCAAAATATAAAAATACATATAAATACATTTAGATCATTTACTTTAATCATTACTATTACACTGTGAAGAGACTTTCAACCACCACAACAACATATGTTTCTGAAGACAATCACCGACTGCACCTTTAATATTAATATTCTAATAATCGTCATGGTTTCCTAAAGTAATTTCAATTAATTCAATGTGTTTAAAAGCAAGAGTCAATTTAGCAATCAGCAGCAGACCACAGATGCTGTGTATTTATCTCAGACCATTCCTCATTGTGTTATCTGGTTGATGTCTGAAGTTTTCTCCTGATAGAGAACAGCATAGTGTTGACTCTTAGTTTGTCAGGCTTTGATTATTCAGCTGTGATCTCTTCTTTGCTGTGTTCTGATAGGATGTGTCTGGTCCGGATGCGGCAGGAAGGCCGAGCTGGGAAATACATGTGCCGTTACATCGTCCACTCCATGTGGGAGGATGTGGAGCAGAGGAGCAAGATTATGGGAGTAAGTGTACAGTATGTGTGTTCAACCATTCTGCCTTTTAAAAAAAACACCTTTCTGTTGGTATGTTTGTTCTTTTTGTGTTTTGTTATCCACAGTAGTAATAGACCAACATCTGCCATCTTCATAATTGACTGTTTTTGACTGATAACATGGTTAATTGACCAGCAAACCAACACATCAGTTCCAAATTTTAGATCTTAACCCTCTGCCGCATGATGTTGCCATATGCCAACATAATATTCATGTTCATTTCCCTGCCACTGTTTCTTTAAGTCAACCTTCTCATTTTTGTGTTGGAAAGAGGAGACCTTAGTTTAGCCCATAGATATATATACACTAGATGTCGCCTGGCCTATTGTTGTCTATTGGACGAATAAAAACATATTAAAGGAGACCTATTATACAAAACAACTTTTATAACGAGTTTAAACAGTTGTGTTCCAACAATGTGTAAATTTAGCCTGCATATAATGGTAAAACTTAATAAAATCTATTTTTAATAATAACACTTGATCAAACACATTGATTAACATTGTCCCTTTGTACGTGTCATTAGGGGGAAAGCCCAGCCTATTAGTGACCATCTCTCCCCCATTTGCATAAACAGCCCTACAGATTTAATTTGCTTCTATGCTGACACACAGACGTTTATAGCTCCGCCCCCTTTTAAAATGTGGCCTGAAGGAACAATCTCATTTGTATTTAAAGCAACAGTCACCAAAACAGCTCAATGTGTATCAAAGCCTAAAAGGGGCAGTTTCAAACACTTGTATACCATTATTTGTGTGGTATTTTGAGCTGAAACTTCACATACACACTCTAGGGACATCAGTGACTTATACATTTTGAAAAAAGCGGCATAATATGTCCCCTTTAAGCAAAAAAATCCCAACAAAACCGATGTCAGAGAAAAGAGAAGTTCCTGCATCATTTGTTTCCAGTTTGTTCTCAATATATCTAATCTAGTGACATCCAGACGTTTTAAGAGCCCAGATACTGTTTGGGATCAGAGCCTATCAGCAAGCCTCATGAATCAAACACTAACTACTTTCTGTCTCGGAAAATAAAAAAGGCAGAGATTTTCTCTGCCAAATGTTTTAGCATGTGAAATGTCTGGTGATCAGGCCTGTTGTTTGGATATGTTGAAAAATGGTGAAATTATAAGCATATACAGTGAAATATTGCTCTCACACACACACACACAAGCTCAGACTTTAGGATGTAGTTATTATGCTCTACAGACTGTGGAGGCATTTGGAGCTGATTGCTGTCCAGCAGAGTAGCAAAAGGTGTTTAAATCTCTTCAAGGTCAGTAAAGATGACATGCTTCTGCTGTGCCGAGCGTGCGCACAAATATATATATATATGTGTGTGTGTGTGTGTGTGTGTGTGTGTGTGTGTTTGAGAGGAAGCCAACGCAAGGCGCCTTAGGGGAACTGCTGTCAGAAAGGGTGGGAACAAGACTTCAGCCCAGCTGTGAAAACACAAATCGCTCTCTCTTTCCCCACACTTCTCTTTGTTGACGTCCCCCATCTCTTCTACCTTCCGTCTTAACAGTACGACTGAATTAGTATTGCTTTAAAGAACAAATACAGCATGGTTCAGATTTGTGCATGCCAGCTAAAGTCAAAATTATTAGCCCTTTTTCTTTTTCAAATATTTCCCAAATGATGTTTAACAGAGCAAGGAATTTTTCACAGTATTTCCTATATTATTTTTTCTTCTGGAGAAAGTCTTATTTGTTTTATTTCGGCTAGAATAAAAGCAGTTTTTAATTGTTTTTCAAACCATTTGAAGGTCAATATTATTGGCCCCCTTAAGCAATTTTATTTTGTGATTGTCTACAGAACAAACTTTCACTATACAATGATTTCCTTGATTATCCTTTCTTGCCTGATTAACCTAGTTAAAGCTAGTTAGCCTTTTAAATGTCACTTTAAGCTGAATACTAGTTTCTTGAAAAACACCTAATATTTGAGTTACTACAACTATTAAGTTTAGAAATGTGTTAGAATTTTTTTTTTTTTTCATTAAACAGAAATTGGGGGAAAAATATAAAGGGGAGCTAATAATTCTGACTTTAACTATATATACAGTGCTCAGCATATATGAGTACACCCCTCATAAGTATCTTTTAAATTAATATTTGCTATAGGGTGCTTTACAATATTATATTTGTGCATACACATTAGATCAGGGATGTCCAAACTCTGTCCTGGAGGGCCGGTGTCCTGCTGAGTTTAGCTCCAACTTGCTTCAACACAACTGCAAGGAAGTTTCTGTTATGTCTTGTAAGCTTGATTAGCTGGTTCAGGTGTGAATAGGGTTGAAGCTAAACTCTCTAGGACACCGGCCCTCCAGGACCGAGTTTGGACATCCCTGATCTAATGTATATGCACAAATATAATACTGTAAAGCACCCTATAGCAAATATTAATTTAAAAGTGATACTTATGAGGGGTGTACTCATATATGCTGAGCACGAGTGATGGTTGGGTTTAAGGTTGTGGTTGGGTTCCAGCCTCCTTTTTTATATCGTACATTTTCATATGACTGAACTCGTACGAATTAGCCACTAAATTGACGAAATGTAAAATAGTTACGTTTTCTTATGAGAACACGTCAGTGTAGTATGGCCGGGCATATATGTGGTCTTTCTTTCCAAGAAGGCTGTCAAACTGATGCTGATTCAGTCTTCTGGATTGGATGAATTTAACAGTTTGCAATTGGACACAATTGGAACAGCAGTTTCTTGTATTGAAAAACTGCAGCTCATTTTTATAGTTTACAGAATCATCTTGCGGGCCGGAATAAACCCGTTTGCGGGCCTGATCTGGCCATACGTTTGACACCCCTGTTTTAAACTATCTTCCAGAGGGCAACAGTACAAATAAGGCTTTAGAGGATGAGAATCATCTCCTATTATGCTTTAAATTTTCCTCATCATTTGCTGTTCATGTAACTCTGCTAGACTCCGCAGAGGCAAACCGATATTCTTAAAGCAAGTCTTGACTAAGCTTTGAAGGTGGTTTTTGTCTCTAACAGAAAGTGAGGAGAACCAGCATAAAAAGGATAAGCCTAATATACTCTCATTATAGGTAGTATAAAAAGTTCTGTGTATGTTCTACACAGAAAGAATTTAGTTTCCTAAGAACATACAATCTCTGATGCACTTTCTTAGGAACAGCTTCTGAGTTCTGCTGGAATTTTAATGTGTTATCAAAGATTGTGCCAAGATACTTATACTCCTTGTAAGATAATACATTTACATTCAAATGAGTTGCTGCAAAAAATTATTACAAACTACAGATGTTATTATTATTTGTTTTTCTTACTCTTGATTTTTTTTCGGTTCTGTTTTTGGCTTTTGGTATGGACTAATCCAGTATAAAATTGTTAAGCATAATATAGAAAATAGACAAGTAAATGAGAGGTCTGTTTAAGGGGTGTACTCATATATGCTGAACACTGTATATTATATATAGAACGAGAGAGAGAGAGAGAGAGAGAGAGAGAGAGAGAGAATACATAACACATAGCAGTGATCTACATAATAATTTGCATAACTAGTTTGCTTAAACCAGCTCAAACTATCGATGTGCTAATCAGTCGTTATAACCTGTCATGCTAGGGCTGTTGGTGAGCCAATTGTCGACAGCTTTCATTTGACTGTCAGTATTAGCTGTTTTAAGTCATCGAGTAGTTTGTTGATTTGAGGGAACAGCTCTTAGGTTTTATGGCTTAGACTTGGGGATAGAGAAAGATTTGTTCACAGAGAGATCTGAAGGAAAACTGTGTGCAATAGCAAAATGTGGTCTGAGCAAATTAGATGTTGTGCCTTGCGTGTTCAGTTATGATGTTGTGGAAGATATATACAAGTTATTTAAACAGTTGCCAGTATCTTATTTTCTTTTTTCATATTTATAAGAAGCCCACTTTTATGTCCAATAACCAATAGTGAGGAATCGGTTCTTAGAATTGTATCCATCAGTTCTAGAACAAGGAATTGGAATCAGTTCCAGGAATGCTGGAATCTATCTAATGGACATCTTTGTTTTTAGGCCTGTCACAATAATCTATATGTTGACTTATCATGCAATACTTTAGGATGACCTCAACAATTTTTGCATTAAATATTTACAAATTCACAAATAATGTTAAAGCCATTTTACAATGACATTTACGTTCTACCTCAGCGGTGTCAAGTTTATAGTTGGACATTTACCTAATAGGACATTTAATAGTATATATAATAGGACATTTACCTTTTTAACATCAAATTAGATAGACTCTAAATACCCTTAAGAATGCTAAGTATTTTAAAGTGTTTATGGCTATTTGCATTATTATGCTGACAGTTGGTATTAAAAAATGTGCAGTTGATTCAACATAAGCAACACAACGTGGAGCTAAATTTGTAACTTCTAATCCGTCTGTAAAAATGTCAGTGAATCCAGTATTTCCTAACTGTGGTCCTGGTGTGCCAGAAATGCATGGCACATTTTGTACGTCAGCCTTATCAAACACACCTGATTCAACTCATCAGCTCTTTAGTAGTGACTCCAAGAACTCAAATGGATGTGTCAGATTAGGGACGGATCCAAAACGTGCACCGCTGGGGGTTTGGGAAGCAGTGTTTAAACTAATAATTCAGCCAAATATGAATCTCCTCATCATTTATGTCATTCCAAACTTGCTTGACTTTAATTCTTCTATTGAACACAAAAGCCGAGGTTATTATTTATATACTGGTTGGCTTTTTCGTGCAATTAGATTGACTGAAGTATTGAGAAACGTGCAAATGCACCATGAACCACTGTTACAAATAACAGTTCTTTATTTGTGTAACATTCATAGAAAACACTAGAGGTTCTTTAAATTGTTAAAAAAAAAAATGCGTGCGTGTGTGTGTGTGTGTGTGCGTGCGTGCGTGTGTGTGTGTGCGTGTGTCTGTTTTTGTGTATGTATGTATGTATGTATGTATGTGTATATATATATAT